CATAGTCGTACACTCCCAAGATCCAACAGTGATCGTGTCAGCAGCTAGATGACTCAAACAAAATAGCAACACATACCCTGTCATGGCTCCACACATGCCCTCCCCCGTACCTAGGAAGCCACTGATGCAAAGAGCGGAGGACAGCAAAAGGGTTAATTCAAGCCCAGTCGAAGCCAGGATATCGTGGTATGCTGCATCTCCCAATTTCATAGTCGTACACTCCCAAGATCCAACAGTGATCGTGTCAGCAGCTAGATGACTCAAACAAAATAGCAACACATACACTGTCATGGCTCCACACATGCCCTCACCCGTACCTAGGAAGCCACTGATGCAAAGAGCGGAGGACAGCAAAAGGGTTGATTCAAGCCCAGCCGAAGCCAGGATATATATGTGTGTGTGTATTTTTTGTTGCATCGACTATGCTAACGGACTGACCAAACGAAAATGCGCCACTCTAAGTGCGGCTAAGCGGTGTGTGTGTGTGTGTGTGTGTGTGTATTTGTGCGTGTCTTTTTTTATTTTATCGACCGCGCTAACCGGCTGACCAATGAAATGATGAGAGTCTCAGTCTCAGTGCGGTTGAAGAGAAACACGAAGCGCTTCTAAAGGCCATGACCTTGGGACCTCGTGTGTGTGTGCATGTGTTGCTTTATTTTTTGGGAGAAGGGAAAATGTACATATGTGCGTCAAACTGTGGCTGTCATGAAACGGTTTTTTTGCCCCCTTGTGTTCTTTTTTTATGGAAGATGGCGAGAGCTTAGTTTGGGATTGTCCGCCTGGAACGACTGAGTTTTTCGTGTGCAACTCGGGGTGGCAGACGTTACAGAGGGGGGGGGGGGGNCCCAATCCCGATAGGCAAACACCGGGGGGGGGGGGGTGTACTCATAGTCGTGCATGCCGTAGTCGTTAGACCATTGACCTCGCATCCCTACAAAGCCGGGACTGAGCACGTCGAGTTCCCGCCGGACCAGGTTCTCACCATCACCAAGCGCAAACCACCGTGAGATATTCGACGAGTCGTACGGAGGAGGACCCTTTTTGTCGTCGCTGTTTTTCATTTTGTTTTCTCTTCCCTTACTCTTTGATTTTTTCTCTTGTTCCCTGTTTTCTTTTTTTTCTCTCTTGTTTTCTCTCTTTTTCTGTGCCAGATGGCCTTGTCTCTGCTTGCGTTGTGAAGTACCAAGATTTAACCAAGGGGGTGTACCTCATTCTCTCCGGCCCGTGATGGTGACTTCTAGTCTCAGTTGCTACCTCGCATAGCGCGCAGAGGGAGTGGAGGACTCCAGAATATCTGTCGTTGATTTCTGTTGACTTGCGGACCCCTCGGGGCCATTTTATTTGAGTGTACATTTAGGGTAAGTTAACCTGTGACCACGGGAATCGACCGCGTCGAGTGTTGTATCAGTACGGACATACGAAGGTACTGAGTAGAGCGAGATCGGAACGGTTCTTAATGTGAAGACAACAACAACAATAACAACAACAACGGAGGGTGCGCTGCATTTTGCTAAGGGTGTTCGGCATCTTGTGCTTACTTTCTTGCATACGGATAACAGCTGCGGACGTACTTTGTTTTCTGGGGTTTTACACTTCCAGAGGCAGTAGTTATGGGCACTGTGTAACTGCCTCGAGGGTGCTTGACCATTTTAGCACAACGTGGTGCGAGCATCCCCCTTGCGCGGAGTGAGGGTTCTCGACCCTGCACNGGGGGGGGGGGGGGGGGAGAGGTGCACGGACAGCTGTCGGCACAACATCTCACGTGCACCAAATGTAACCCATCAATGTCCACTGCTGCTGCTGCTGCTGCTGCTGCTGCTGTGGCGGCGCAGGAGAGCCTGAAGGTCTGCGGAGCCGCCAAGAAGACAATGGTGGAGGCGAACATGCGCATGGTAATCTCGATCGCCAGGAAGTACCAGCACCTGGGCGTGCCCCTGACGGACCTCATCCAGGAAGGGTCCCTCGGGCTTGTGCGAGCGGTGGAGAAGTTCGACCCCGAGCGAGGCTTCAAGCTCAGCACGTACTCGGCGTGGTGGATTCAGCAGGCGATCTTCAAGGTCGGTGGTGTGTCGGGGGGGCGTGTGTATGCTCAGCACGTACGGCGTGGTGGATTCAGCAGGCGGTTTGTAAGATGTCGGTGCGACCGCCTTGGAGAGAAAATTGAGTTTTTTTCGAGGAAAGACACCAGGGATGGGGGTAGAGTACGCAGACCCTCTTTTTGCCCCAACTCCCCGATTGCATGCTGTATCCAACATGTTCACCTAACAGAAAAACCCTGCAACTGTGTGGGGTGGGGGCGCACTCGTGTATATCGATGCCGTAGTCGTTAGACCATTGACCTACTGCTGTGCCGTGCCCGGGACGGCCGGGTTTTCGCCGGCCTCGGCTATGTTTCACCGGATTTTTGCCATACCATGGCCGGAGTCTACGCAGCAAAATTGATTTAAGCAAACATAGGGAAAAAAGTGTTCAATCCGTGCTTTGGGGTTACGGGTGAGGGATAGGGTCTGTGTGCCCCCTCCCTTTTTCTTGTTCTAGATACTCTTTTTACTTCCTGCGTAGGCGGGTCCTACCATGGAGAATGAGATACTGCTGCCTGCAAACCCCGGTGGGAAAAGAACCTTCCTGATTTTCGGAGAAACGGAGAAGCTCTACGGAGGGTACAAAGTGGTCGCCATCCTTGGGTTGCTGGGGAGGGCTGTCGTCGTTGCTGCTGCTGTGTGAGGTTGGCTGGCAGATGACGAAGCGTTGGAGAATCTGGTGGACGAACTTAGAACATCCTACCTAGCTCGCACGATTCGCCACTCTGCTGTAGCCGGCGACGGCAGCGGCAGGTTTTTGTTTGCCTCACGGCTGGCTTTGAGCAGTAGCCTTTGCGCGAGGATGTTGAGGTCGGTTTATAGTAGGAGGTTGGGGTTGGGATACTGTAGGGATGCGAAACCTCCCTTTTCATTTCATGCTGAAGTTGATTGATTATGAATTGCTGGCGGCGGTTGGTGCGGTTCGTTTTGGGTCAATCTGAACGCCCAATCTGCTATCAACCCCGTCCCCCCCCATTCCGGGCACACGAACGAATCAACGACGCCTGCCAACACAGGGCATCGCGAACCAGAGCCGAACGGTGCGGCTGCCGATGCACGTGCATAATCTGCTCGGGCGTGTGAGGAGGGCGAAGAACGAACTCGGCGCTAGCCAAGGGAACCTCCCGACCGACCATCAGGTGTGGAGCCTGCTGTAGTGTGCTGGATTGCATGATACTCGCACCGAATGACAAAACGTTTTCTGCTTGCGTTGAAATTCATGCGACGCTTTTTGCTGGACTGCATGATACTCGCACCAAATGACAACACTCGGTGTTTCTTCCTGCTTGTTTGTACATCTGACGCCTTTGCTGGATTGTACTCACAATTAATGACAACACTCGGTGTTTCTTCCTGCTTGTTTGTACATCTGACGCCTTTGCTGGATTGTACTCACAACTAATGACAACACCCGGTGTGTGAATCTGACACTATTAAGTGGTTGATCTCGGTTTGTGGGCGTGCGGGGCTGTAGGTTAGATGTGCGTGTGAATGGCTCTACGTACGTGTTGCTTGCCATTGAGGTCAGGCAAGCGCGAAAGCGCGGTCGATAGTCGGGCGTTACCAGGATAGGCATGGTTGATTGTGATTTTTGTTTGTCGATTCTCCGAATCCGTCCCGTAAGCATTTACCCTGAAACCGTCGTCGAAAGGTCGTCACAACTCGCATCCCGGAAGTCCAGAAACCGGGTGTGATCTTGGCATTCTGACCCGAACCCTCCGCTCTTTTGAGCTCTTTCGAACACCGAGTAGTAGGGCATGCTTGTTCGAGTATGGTGGCAAAGCAGTTTTCACCAAGTACTGCGATATATGTTTTTTCGGAGCACTTGAGAATCAACGACGGCCTTACCTGTAGTGGTTTCTCGCGAGTGCTCGTCCCCTCAACATTGTTACTATTGTTTTTGTCGGAATAATTTTTCAGAATCAATGACCTCGTCTTTGTGTAGTAGTTTCGCGAAAGCCATCATCTCAACAAAAACGAAATCAAACTTGTTTTCGGGGCACTTGAGAAAATACAACCTTGCCCTGAATCTTCTCACAAGTCTTCCATCGCATCCAAACGAAAAGGGGGTCGTTCTTAGGAACACGCGTGGAATCAACGACCTTGCGTTTAGCAGCTTCTGATTTCGTCGCCTCGAAACAAAATCGCGCGCGCGCGTCGCAGATCGCGAGGCACTTGGACATGCCGGTGAAGCGGTTGCGGCGCTACTTGGAGTTGACGAAGGAATCGGTGTCTTTTGAGGTGAGGGAATGTTTTGTTTTTTGTTTTTGTTTTTCTCCCATCATTGGACTCTGTCGTCTGCCCCTCTGGCCCCTATCCTTCACTTCTACCAGCTAGACGGCCCAACCGGGGTCACATAGGAGGGGGGGGTTGGACCCCCTCCTGCGGTTCCTGCCTCAGATATTTTTATCGCGAGAAGGGTACAACAATCCCTTCCCTCGCGACTTATGAAGTCGATCAATGTGTGACTGACTGACTCACAAAGCACCCCTCCCTGCTGCTAGCGTTGTGTTGATATATTCACTTAACTGTTTTGGAATGGAACAAGTGGATTAAACACACCCCGCCCGAAGTGACTGTCTGGCCTGATCCCCCCTTAATATGGGGAAAACAGCGAATTTTACGGATGGCAACACAGCAAGTGGTTCGCTTTGGTTGGCTTGTCTTTTGTCTTTTCGTTTCGTTTTTTTCTTTTTTCATGCCAGCCTCTTTGTTGTCCTTCGCCGATGTTGGTATGCAAACTGCCGATATCCGTTGTATCCGGAGGTAAGCCAACGGGAAACCTTAACTGTTTCCTGGACCCTCCATCTCCTCCTTTGCCTCCTCCTCCTCCTCAGATGCCGACTGACCCCAGCACCTCGCTGCAGTCCGGGAAGGAGAGGGTGCTACGGGACACGCTGGTGGCGAAGGAGAGGGACCACCCGGAGAGGGAGGGGGACTCGGTGCTATTCCGCGCGAGGCTGAGGGAGGTGGTCGGAGAGCTGTCCGAGGACGAAAAGATCGTCCTCTCGCACAGGTGGGTAGGCCGCCGCCCGTCGTGTCTCTTTCCTTCCTTACTTCCTTTCTTTCTGATGAGGGTCAGGAGCCGCTCGCCTGACAGGTTTCTTTTTGTCTTGCCTAGTGGCGGCATTATAAATTTCGCCAATGCGGGCGGGGGGGGGGGGGGGCCCCCCCCCGGGGGG